TGGAGGTTGCAGTGAGCCAAGATTGCGCCACTGCTCTCCAGCCTGGGCAACAAGAACGAAAACTCTTGTCTCAAAAAAAAAAAAAAGTTCTGGTTAAACCATACATGGTTTTAAAAATCATTACACATTCAATTAGCAATATAATGAGGGCTCATTTTATAAAAGCATTTTTGTTTTTTGAGACAGAGTCTTACTCTGTCTCCCAGGCTCGAGTTCAGTGGTGTGATCTCGGCTCACTGCAACTTCTGTCTCTGGGGTTCAAGCAATTCTCCCAATTCTCAGCTTCCCAAGTAGCAGGGATTACAGGCGCCTGACACCACGCCCAACTAATTTTTGTACTTTTAGTAGAGACAGGGTTTCGCCATGTTGGCCAGGCTGGTCTCAAACTCCTCAAATTAGGTGATCTGCCCATCTTGGCCTCCCAAAGTGCTAGGATTACAGGTGTGAGTCACGGCGCCCAGCCTATAAAAACATTTTAATGAGAATAAGAAAGGCTCTTCTAAGCAGAAAGCATAAAGGGAAAATATTTAAAATTATGAATATTTTAAACTTCTTTATGTCACAAGACATCAGAAACAAAAACATCTGCAATACTCTTCATAAAGAAATCTAACATTGTGGACAGAAAATGGGTAGATGCCCCAAACAAGTAACTCAAGAAATATACAAATGACCAACAATCCAATGCAGACATCCCATCTCAATAATAAAAGCACTGAAAACAAAACTATTTCCCACCTGTTAGACTTGCAAGGTTAAAAGAGATGACATGAGGGAAAAAGGATTTTTTTCTGAAGACAAAGTCTTGCTCTGTCACCCAGGCTGGAATGCCATGGTACAATCATGGCTCACTACAGATTTGACCTCCTGGCTCATGTGATCCTCTCGCCTCAGCCTCCCAACTAGTTGCGACTACAGGTGTACACCACCATGCCCAGCTAATTTTTGTATTTTTCATAGAGATGGGGTTTCACTATGATGCCCAAGCTGGTCTTGAACTCCTGGGCTCAAGCAATCCTCCTGCCTCAGCCTCCCAAAACATTGGGATTACAGGCATGAGCTGCTATATGTGGCTAAAATGAACTTTTATACACTATTTTTGAGAGTCCAAATTGGCACAAACTATTGTTTAATGGTAAGCTGACAATACATCTCAATTTGAAATGTGTACCTGTTTTGCCCAACAATTCCACTTCTAAGCACCCATTCGAAGAAGTAGTAAGATTAGCGTCCCTAAGGATGTCCAGGGTTATAGTTAGATATAAAATAGTGAAGACCTATCAATCAGAGAGAGTTAAATACAACTTGATATAGCTATACAATAGAGCAGGGGTTGGCAAACTTTCCTGTAAATGATCAGGTGATAAATATTTTGACCTATGGGCCATATGGTCTCTATCACAACTACTCTGTCATTGTAGTGTGAAAGCAACCATAGACAGT